TTCACCTGGCCGGGAAGGAACCATCGCAGGGAGAGCAGCTGGAGAGACCCTGGCTCTGCCCTCCCTTGCTGCATGCTGCCGGTACCAGAGCCACACCGTGCCGGGCACAAGGAGTCGGGAACCCACCGTCCTACACTAGGGATGACCCCTATCCTGTCACCACTGCAGGGACAGCACATGAGCTCAGCCCTGCTCTGAGTGTGACCTTGCTGGGGTCTCTCAGCAGCATCAGGAAAGGTGCACATGGGTCTCAAACCCTCCACCAACACTTTTGTCCCCACTTGGCTGAGCCAGGCAAATGAACACGCTGGGAAAGGCGCTTCCCACCCACCAGCACAGGCAGAGCCAAGGGCAGGCAGGAAACTCACACAGAAATGAGCTAAAAAGGTTTGCTTTAAAAACAGACAGAAGTGACAAGGCATCCACCAAGAACACCACACCACAAATGCCACCTGGGGATGCTGCTGATAACACTGTACTCATCCTGGCACCTGCTCTGCACCAGCCATCAGTGCAGGAGCCGAAAGTGAGGCGCGAACACTGCGAGGCTGCCTGCATCACAGTATGGTGGAAGGGACCTGCCTGGTGACTGCAGAGGGATGGTGAGCCCCAGCCCTCATGCAGAAGTGGGCACCACGGGCAACACTGCCAAAGAACATTTCCTCCAAGAATCCCATCACACAAGCTCCCAGGATGCTTGTGTTTGCTCATGGAAGGTCCTGATAGGACTGAACACCCACATTGCACATTGGAGAGGTAACAGCTTGAAGCAGGAGCCTGCCTGGGACTTTGACTGCATGCAGCAGGAAGCGGTGTTCCAGTCTGGAGCCACTCAGCCCCATGAGGTGGTATCACTGTCCATCCCACTGCTGGCTTGGGGTGTCCTTCTCCATGCAGGCCAGGTAGCGGTCGTAGTTCTCCTCGCACCTCCTCACACAGTGCAGGAAATAGTCCTCATCAGCAATGGCCTCCAGCAGATCGGTTTGCACCAGGCAAATGTTGTACAGCGCCGAGGTGGGCACGCTCTTGGGACTGCTGCTGCCCTTCTCTGAGAACACCTGCAGGGAGAGCAGAGCCTGGCAGCAATGCACACGCCCCAGGTGTGCTCTGCCCGCCCCTCAGCCGGGCACCTCCCTGCTGGCTGTGTGTCAGAGGCAGAGGGCAGGGTGATCCTATCTCCACTGCAACAGCAGGTGAAATTTCTTCAGATTTCCCCCTCTCCCAGAAATTGCCTTTGACTCTGAACCAGCATGTCACACATGTGCCTGGTGCTCACTTAAGGAAACAGGCCACACCATGCAGCTGGAAGAAAACAACTCTGTGGAGCAGCTGACTCCAGGCAAACCTCTGCCAACAGCTCTTCCTTTAGCTGCCAAAGGATGGAACAGGGACTTCACCTTCTGATCTTCACCATGGCCTGCTTAAAGCCTCCTGGCAATCTGTTTCACTCCTAGTGGTGCTCTGTCACCATCACTGAAATGGGGACAGCCCTGCAGAGCTGGAGATGCAAGAAGGGAGAATGGCTTTCCACCTACTGATCCTGGCTGCAGGACAGCAAGGTCCCAGCAGTGACGACGAGCCCTGCTGGGAAGATGCTTGGCTGCTGCCCAGACTCCCACGAGGTCTGCTGCTACCATAAGTGGATCCTACCTGTGTGATCCAGTGTGGGAGCAGCCCCAGGGCTGGCTGCATGGCTGCCATGAGATTAGCACAGCAGCCTGCCTGACCAGACGTGCAGGCTACCAACGCCAAAGGAGGAACTCCTTGATCAGACAAATAGCCTGATGCTGAAATGCAGCAAGTGGAGCTGTGTGAGCCACACTCCAGCTGCTGTAGATCTGCAGGCAGCAGCCATTGCAAAAGCTCCCCTCAACCAGGCATGGCACATGGCACAGGTCTGTCCAGGCAGTAACAATTCCTGCCACCAGCTACAAATGTGTAAGCTGAGAAAGCTTGTATGGAAGGGAACATCCAGTGAGCATTCCACCCCCTTCCATTCCCAGGCTGCCTGCCAAACACTCCAGACAATTCACTGGCTGCTGTGTTTCCCCCCTGCACCATCTCCATATGGATGGAAACAGGCAGGGGTTGAGGACTGCCCATGGACCTGCAGCTCTTGTTTGAGTATTGACAGCTGTCCAACGGCCAGGCACGGCTCTGTCTGTGTAAACATTCTGTTTCCCAAGTGTGCTCCCCACAAACACTGCCCCTTCATTCAGACAGGTGACAAGGCTGGCAGCCCTGATATCATTGCTGCTGCCTCCAGGCTGACTCAGAGGGGAGCAGAGGCAGCCAGAACCTGCTGTGCATGGCTGACAGCTGATCTCAGCCTCCCTGTGCATCGCTGCCACCAACACTGCTGGCACAGGATGCAGTGACAGCAGGGCTATGCCTTGATTCCCCTTTGCAGCCTCATGCAAAGGGGACAAAACATGTCTGACCTTGCCAGGGACATCCCTGGTGCAGGCTGCTGGTGCCAGAGGAGCCTTCAGCCACCTACCTGGGGGTGAACAATGGTGTCTCCATCGTCCAGCCGGATGTTGTCATCAATGAAGATGTGGTGAACGTCAGGATCGTGGGGGTCTACCCACAGGGGCTTCCCACCCTGGGAAGAGAACTGATTTCTGGCCCACCTGAAACAGTAAGTGGAGAAGGAACAGTCAGGACAGGGAGAGGGTGACAGATCCCAGGTAATGGCAGACTGTACTGCAGGCCCAGGGCACCCTCTGAGCCACAAAACCAGGATGGAGAACGTCCTGTTCTACTCCCCATGCCCTCCTAGGAATGAGACATGAGGAATTTTGCATCGAAGTGACAAATCAGGGGGTCTTTGGAGAAAAGCAGGAGGTACACCAGGGGATGGGGACCTCAGAAATGGTGTGAGAGTCCCATCAGGCTGCCCACAGGCAAAATGGGGAGTGCCTAAGTGCTAGGGACCCCAACAACTTAAAGGTTTCAAAACTAGGAGTTATCCCAGAAACTGAGAGAATCACAGGAAAGAAGATACTGCCCAAGCTACTTCCTCAGTGCCCTCTTTCTCACCAGTCAAAGTGGTCTTGGAAGCCTCCAATTCCCTCAAAGGAGCTGAAGTAGTTGTAAAGGTTTCTTCTGTCTTCCCGGGTGGCCAGACGCTCTGCTCCCCGTGTCAGCACCACCTCCTTCTTGCTGCAGCGTATCTGGCCAGGGGTAAGGTCCACAGGGAGCTGCAGGACCACAGAAAATGGGGAAGGAAAAGTTTGCACAGCAGACAGGTTGTTTCATGCACTGGTAGAGACACCAAGCAGCAGGGTGGAGACTCCCCACCACTACAGTGTGGGAGGATGGTGCTGGGAAGATGACAAGAGGAGGCATGGAATGTATCCAACCAAAAATCATCCCTCTCCCCAGGGATGGAAAGGTATGACCTCCTAGCTGCACACTGCTCCCATTTCAATCTCTGCTACCTGAAAACACTCCAAGGAATAACTAAAGCATCTCCTAAAGCTCATTCCCAGCACTCCTGCCCAGTGTGCTGCCAGGGGGAGGAGAGTGCAGCTGCCATCAGCTCTGGGCCAGGGAGCCCTGCTTTGCTGCAGCAGCCTCTCCTCGGGAGAAGGCATGCTCTGTCCAACACGGGATACCCCAAGAGGAGACCATTCCACAGAAGATGTGCACACACGTGCTCCCCCACAGCTAACAGCTTCATCCAGAGAACTCGATGCTTTTAAAAGCAGCCTGGCCAAGCAGCTGGAAAGCAGCCTGACATTGGGGGGAGGCTCTGTGGGACCATCCGGCTGCCCTTCCCCATCACGACGGCCACTCACCGCCAGGTCTCGCAGGGCAGGGAAGCGGGGGTGCTGCCCGCGCAGGGCGCTGCTGACGGCCTGCAGGGCGCGGGGCAGGTCGCTGCCGAAGGTCCTGAAGACAACGGCGAAGGCCCTGCCGTCGCGGTGCAGCGCGTCCAGGAGGCGGAAGAAGGAGGGCAGGAGCAGGTGGTAGCGTTTGCCGGGCTCCCCCGGCACCGACAGGGCGTCGTGCGGCCGGCCCGGCCACTCCAGCAGCCGCAGGTGGCGGGCGTGCAGGTCACGGAAGCGGCGGCCCGGGCCGGCCTCGGTGAAGGCGGGGTCCCGGCCGTGGCGGCTGTAGTAGCTGAGGGCGCCGGGGCACGGGGGCAGCAGGGACGGGCGGTCGCTCACCCACTCCCACTCGCCTGGAAGAGAGGAACGTGCTCAGCCCCCGCGCCGCCACACCGGGCCCCCGCACCCCGTACCCGCGGCGCTCACCGGCAGCCCCGACGCGGCCCCAGGTGACGGTGCTGAGAAAGGTGTTGAGCGCCGCTCGTGGGGCCTGCCCCGTCACCGTGTCCGCCGCCACCACCGTGTTGTTGAGGTCCACGTGCAGCACCAGGCGCCGCCGCCGCCCGGCGCCGCCGCTCATCGCCCCGACACCGGCCCCGTTACCTGGTGACGGCGCCGCTTCCGCCCGCGCCGCTTCCGCCGGCGGCGCCCCCGGCCCCCGCCCCCCCGGTGCCGGGAGCCGGCGCGGGCCGAGCGCGGTGCCGCACCCCCTGTCTGCACCAATCACCTCCCGGAGCCCTGCAGGGAGGGGCCGGCCCAGGCGGCCTGCCCGCCCCGGGGCCCCTCCGGCGGCGGGCCGAGCCCTGGGGAGGGCCGCGGGAGCGGGGGACGGGCGCTCGGGAAGGGGCTCCGCCGGGCCGAGAGGAGAGGCTGAGCGGGGAGCTGGCCGCCCCGCCGAGCCCTCCTCGGCACCGCGCTCCGGCCCCAGCTCTGCAGGCTGCCCCAGCCCCGCGTCTCGCCCTGCCGGCAGCCGCCTCCCCCTGCGGGGCAGCGGAGAGCCCTGCCGTGCTCGGACAGTGGGGCTCGGAACCGCTGCTGTGCTTGCACCGTGCCGGGAGGGCTGTGCTCCCGCAGCAGTGTGTCACGGGAGGGAGCCTGCTGTCAGGCTGTCCGGGGCTGTCTGCTCGTGGCCGGCTTTCCTCCAGTACAGCTGGCAACGCACCAAGGGGTTGGATGTTGGAAAGTCCTGTTCCCATGGAATGTCACAGCCAGAACACCCCGTAGATGTCCCAGCTGCTCCTGGGCTTGCTGCAGCCTGAAGATGATCCATTTTCCATCCTGTTGAGCACATGTTGTTACTTGTGCTTCTTCGCTGGTCTCTGCCTCACCACATCAAAATTAACATTCCACCCTCTCTGGCTTCCCTGTGCCTGGCACTGCTTGGTCTCTCCGGAGGTGGTGACTCTCACAGCTGGCTGGGGCTCTGGGATCACTTCCCTGCCTGCCCTCCTTCGTGGGAGATCCCCCGCCTGCCTCTGAACGCTGCATTATCCTCCTCCAAATCCCTCTTTGGCCATGACGTCTGCAGAGCACTTGACTGAGATTAGTCTGTCATGTGGAGGTTCTTACTCCCCCACTGACCTGTGCTTTCCCTCCTGTGGCTGCTCTTGCCTTGGGTCTGTTCCCTGCGTGTGCAGCTGGCGGCAGCACGGGCTCTGCTCCTGAGACCAGACTGCTGGGGAACATGGGACACCAGAGGTTCCTTGTTCTGCTGCTCAGGCACTCACTTCTCCATCACAGCTTTCTTGCCTGTGCACTGCCCTCCCCAAAACTGTCTCTGACACCTCCTCCATTTCCCTGATCAGGGTTTTTAACTGAATCTTCATTAATATTATTTTGTGAGGTATCAATAAAGCTAAAGATTTTTTGCCTTGTCGGTCTAGCATCCAGCTGTGGAGCTGTGAGGCCACCAGGATCAGAGTTCTCTTGAAGCACTGCCCTTCAGGTCCTGCCTGGAGTGCCCTTTAGTGCCTATTTTTTATTGAAAGCAATAATTGATGCTTTTATGCCGGGCAGGCAGCTGCACAGTGCCCTGAGTGTGATCCCAGTGTTGTCCCTCAGGCCTTTGTACCCTTGGCCCTGGTGATGTGTGTTTCCTTCATACCGCCCTGCTTGAATTTCCTGCTTCCTCCCCACTTGGCAGCCAGTGTCCTTGGATCAACACCAGTTTGCTGTGACAGCAAGTTGTGGACCGTGGTTCAAACAAGAGAACAGCAAGGAGCAGTGCTGCCTTGCCACAGCATTCAGCACCAGTGAAGCACAACTGGAACAGCCTCCAGCCCTGCTGCCAGGTCTCCAGGAGGAAACTGCAGCTTTGGCAAGGGGCTCAGAATCAGTTTTTGAGCAGCATCAGTTAAGAAGCTGAGAAAATAACGGTGGTGCTGGGATGCAGTTGAAGTCAGGCATTTCTCAGTATTGAGATGGCTCAGTGGTGGTGGCTGAGGTGTGTACGCAGGGAGGGGGTTCAATGAGGGTTCAGATTTTCCCAGGGAAAATGAGATCTGGTTATCCAAAGCTGGGATGGGTCAAACTCAAAGTCAAACTGGAAAGGAGCTGCTGATTTTGCTGAGTTAATCATTGGAGTCCTTCATCTTGGGGTGGTTTGGATAGGATTTCCTGAAGTCTTTGTTTAGGTTGGAGGATATTTTTGTGAGAGATGTTTTAGTTTTGTTTCAGAGATAGATGAGTGACAGGTTTTTCTTGGTGATGCTTCTATGTTGGGTTGAGCCCAGAATCTGACCCAGTGTTTGTGACCAGCCACGCCTGGGCTTAATGGCTTCAGGTCTCATATTAAAAACTTGGATAATTTCAGTTGCTGTAAGCTAACTGTCTTCTTTCTCCTTTTGAGGTGTCAAGGGTTGTTTTTCCAGTAATTTGGACCTTTTTGAAGCACGTGCTTGCCTAATGCCATGAATATTGCAGTGAACAATGAGGAAGAAAAAGCTGTCCATTCCTGGTCAAGAATTTCCTCTGCAGGACAGAAGGTGCTGGAGGAAGCCCTCCGAGTCTTCAACCCGATGTCCAAGGATCTTTCGGACACGGAGACCCAGCTGGTGGCCTTCATCCAAGGCCTGAAGGAGGAGGGCTACCAGCCCACGATCCTGAGGAGCAAGGATGTGTATGGGTACAGCTCGTGCACGGCAGTCACTCCGAGCCAGACGGACGGAAACACGCAGCGCAGCTGCGCCAGCACCGCTCAGCCCACTCAGAGTCCAGCCAGGAACTCGCTGGCAAAAGTGGCCCCTTTGCCCACCAGCACTGCAGTGAGCTCTTTGAAAGTCTCCAGTCAGCCAGTCTCCAAAGGGGATTCCAGAAATCTCCTCTTGAGCTCCTTGAAGCAGACAGGATCTGGCACATCCAAGGCAGCGACAGTGGGCTTCCCTACAAGCATGTATCCTGATGTGTATCCAGCTATGAGACTGTCAGTGGTTCTGGAAGCCCTGGTGCCACTGAAAACTGCAACGTCCTGTTTGGAGTCCAAGTGCACGCAGGGGCGTCTTGGGATCTCTCCCTCAGACCTTAAACTCCTCAAGACTTCAAATTCATCAAGGCAGTTTTCTTCAGGCAAGAGTACTAAAATAACCAAAGGCAAGGGGTACAAGCGTTTGGTTAAGAAAGCACCCAGTTCTGCCAGCCGTGCTTTAAAGCTTCTGAGGGGACCAAAGGGTGGAGTGCTGCAGGAGAGCAACGCCTGCAAAGCCTCTGGAGTTCTCAATGGGAGAGTCGCAGGCAGCTCATCCCAGGACTGCACCACAGCACCACAGCCCAAGACCTTGAAAATCAAAGATAAGGAAGTTCTGGTGGGAAAAACAGAGTGGAAGGACAGCAGCACTTGCCAGGAGGGCGCTGGGCAGAAGAAGAGAAGAGCTACAGAGGCAAAAGAAGCACCACAGAGGAAAAAAGCAAATACCATTCCTGTCCGAAAGAAAACTCGACTGGCTCAGAGTGCTTTGAACCTGCTGAAATTCAGGACCATCAAGGTGGGGAACTCTTCTTCTGATGATGAAGTGAGGAGGAGAGCACAGAAGATTCTTAGGGTCAACCTGTCCCCTGTGATCCAAATTCAGCCCTTGTCCCATTCTCATAGCGTCCCCTGAATTTCTTCACTTTGTCACTTTTTTTTTTGTAAGTAAATACAAGTCTGGCACCAGAGCGCAGAGAGGCTTAGGAGTGACTCTGTCTCTGGTGCCAGTATGCCCACTAACCTGCAGACAGAGCAGCCCACTCTCGTGCTGTTCTGCCTGTCTGCTACTGCTGTGCAGAACTGGCTGCAGAAATCCAGCCCCCTGTTTGGGAGTGTGGGACGGTGACTCTGGCCAGCAGCGAGCTGGGCGGGCTGGAGAGCTCACTTCTCACCATGCTCCCCTGAACGTGGCAGGCTGTGCTCTTGTGCAGGGGACAACACAGGACTTTCTCATGACATTGATGCACTGTGATATTGCTCTTTTTCAAGCTGTACATTTACTGGTTTTATTTTGATCAAATTTTATAACTTTATTATCTATATATCTATATATCCATATATGTGCATATGGCCCAGGAACTGTGGGAAGATGCACCTCCTCCATCCCTTTGGGATTGGGTTTGATAGCTTTTGTTCCTCCTTCCCTTCAGCTAGCCTTTTGTTGAAAGGTGCCAGAATTGCTTTGTGGTTCAGTGTTGTGAGAGTCTGTCCTGGGCTCCCTTGAGCAGCTCGGAGGCAGCAGTGGTGTAGCCACTAAATAATTTGGAGAATTACCAGCTGGTAGTTTTAATCCCGTTTTTGGTATAACCTCTGCATAACAGTGGGGGAGTGTCCCAGGGCTGCAAGTCTGTCTGACATCTTTAGGCACCTCCTCTGTGGGTAGCAGAAGTTTTGAACACATGGTAGGGATTTGCCTCCGGAGAGGATTCCTCCTCAGCACCCAGCATTACTCTGCTCTCCTATACCCCAGATGCAGCCATGGATCAAGAGCTGTGACTGTTAGAGCCAAAGGGCTTGAACTGTTAGCATGAACTGTGTGGTGTCCTGCCCCCCGTGTAACTGCGTCGCTGTTGCTGGGTGTTCCAGGAGCAGATTCCAGGTGCCGGGAGAGAAGGCTGTTGGTTTTGGCTGGAGTTAAACCACGACAGAGACTCACGCTGTGTTTGAATGCATGAGCTACATCCTGCCAGTCCCACAGCTCAGTGGGATACTTGAGCCTGAGTTAAAGCAGAAAAGTGAAAAATTTGGGAGGACATACACCAACACTAAAACACAGAGAGTCGCTTTCTGGTTTGTGGGGATGAAGCAGTAGGAGGGGAGATGGGCATCATGGGGTGGGTGGCAGCCTTGCTGTGCTATCAGGGATGTTGTGAGAAGGTGTGTGGCAGGTGTGAGAGCTCCGTGTGGAAGGAGTGCAGGCTCTGCCATCCCTAGGAGGCACTGCAGAACCGCTGCAGACAGCTGCTGTCACCTCCCTGCACCGGGGACACGCTGTTGGATCAGAACACGGCCCTGTGCTCTCTGCACTCCACAGGGAGGGATCTGTGAATCCCAGGAGAAACACCTCGTTGGAGCAGTTAGTGCTGCTGCTGCCACCTGGAAGGGACAACCTGGTGTCCTGGGGAAAGGAGGAGGCATTGGGCTGGGTATGGGCCTGGCTCTGTATATCCCTGTGTGCTCAGATCTCTGCAGCAGTGGTGTAATCCACTCATTCTCTCACCAGCTCAAAACACCAGTTGTCTGACCTAGTAATCTCTGTGGGCATTGGCTGAAGGGATGAGCTCCCTAGGGAAGTCCCAGATCCTTATATTTGAGCCCTGCCCCCAAAGCACCTGGTTGGATTTCAGTGGTTTATAAAAGGGGTCAGTGTCTGATACCCAGCACAGGAAGGAAGACTGGTATGGAGAGAAGAGAGGAGGTTCATGATGGGGTGAGAAGGCAGGAGAGTTGAGTGTTCTGAGGTGCATCTGGGTTCTCCTCTTACCCACACAGAGCAGGGTGGAGGTTCACTTTCACTAAGCAAGCTGGTCTAGTGTAAAGTGTCCCTGCCCATGGCAGGTTGGTTGGAACAAGATGATCTTTAAGATCACTTCCTATCCAAACCCTTCTGTGATTTTATGATTCAGGGAATGATTGCAAGCCCTGAACCCCACACTTGGGTTCTGAGTTGCTGTCAGAGATCATGACTTGCAGTGTTTGAGACTGACCTGTGAATGCCGCTGCTTGGCTGCCAAGGAGGAGGAAATATTTTCTTCTGCTTCTGTGTTTTAAATTGCTCTGGCAGAGTGTTCCCTGTCCTGACCTGGTGCTGGATGAACAGGGGCTCTCCATCACTGTCAACTGGCCAAAAATTGCTTTGTCCCTTTTGTTCCCACTCCTTCAGACCTTTCTCATTCCCACGCTCTCAAATGCCAGGTCTTGAAGTCCTGCACTGGTGTTTCTCTTTTGGGCTGTTTCCCGAGGAGGGCTCTGAACTCCTGCCTGTGGTATTGCTGTCAGGCTGCTCAGCAGCTTCCCCCGTTCCCAGACCCTTATAAGGGCACTGAGAGCTGTCTTTGGAGTCTCCTTATGCAGCACAGGCATCCCAGCTGAGCACTTGGCCTCCGCTGGGAAAAACAGAGTGCATCAACAAGGCTGAATCCAGGTCGAAGCCGCTTTTCCTCCAGCCTGAGTGGGAAGCTGAGCACCTGAGGCCAACTTACCAGGCCACATCCCTCCTCATCACTGTGTGTCTTCTCTCAGCTGTACTGCTGCCTGCCTCTTCACTCTTGTCTTTCACAGCTTGGGTCTCTGCCAGTCAGGACTTGACTTGTATTGTTGTTTAACACATCCAGCACAGCATTCAGCACTAAGGCTGAATGTGCCTTTCCCAGCACTGAGCTGAGTTCTGTGCCTGCTTGGTGATGACACTTTGCCCTGTGTCCTTCCCAGGCCACCAGCAAAAGGTGTTCTGCTCCACAAGCTTTGGAAATGCCTCTGTGTCACTGAGACTGCTGCCAGGGAAGTGAGCACTCCGTAGCTGTGTGCTCAGGGACTTGCTCATCACCAGTCCCCTCTCTGTCAGCTCTCCTGCACATCTCTAACAGACACAGGGCTCTGAGCGACAGGGCAGTGCTGACCACCATTCTCTGCCCTCCTGTTGTCTCTTCTTCCTCTTGCAGGTGCTTCAGGAACTTGACTGAAGGGGTTGCAGGTTGTTATGGAGAGGCTTTACAGCCTCTGTGCTGGTGCCAGCAACTGCAGAGGGGTGCCTCAGTCTGGCATGGGTTGGCTCCCCCGTCCTTCAGCTCTGCCCAGGTGTGGATGCTCCTGATGTCCTGGGCATGTAACACTGATGTGCATGAGGCTGCAGAGGGGCTCTGTGTGGATGTTTAGGGTAGATGAAGGGTTTGATCAAACCAGAGCTGCCTAAGACCTGATCTAACCAGAGGTCTCCCCCACAGGTCCCTTCCATCCTGGGTTATTCTGTGGCAGCTGAGTAACGTTTCCAGGGATCTGTGCAACAGTAACTGGCAGGCACAAAGAAATGCATTGCCCAGAGCGCTGTGGTCTCTGCTGAGCATGTGGTATGCACCTTGTTCAGACCTGTTTCTGTATTAGTCACTTTGAATTCATCCAAGTGCCTAACCTGGCCTGTGTTGTTCTGGGCACTGTGACAGCTGGGAGCTTTGGAGGCTCTCTTAGGAATGCTTTTAACGCATGGATTTGTGCCACTGTCACTTCTAGAAATGATTCGGCTAGCGGTCAAAGGGCTGTTCTTCCAACTGATTTTTTGGAAATAATTTCTCCTTTTATTCAGCTGCCAAGAAGCAGTTTATGCTTCCCCTCCACCAGACAAGGTCCTTGAGCTTCCTGCATGCTTCAGATGTCCGTCAGCAAGGTCCATGGGGAGAGCAGCTTGTCCAGCAGGCAGCTGAAGGGGAAGCTGACATCAGATACCAGTTGAAATCACAATGTTAATTGGTAGAAATGTTCTGCAGCTCATGTCCACTGTGATCAGATTTCACCATCTGCCACTGCTTATGGCTGTAGAAGTTTCTCCTCAGCCTCTTCCCTGCAAGCCATGTAGCATGTTGCTGCTGCTTCTAAAATATTTGCATCCCCTATGAGCCAGATGCTGTAGCAATCCTTGTACAGGGTTTCTTAAGCACTTTTTTTTTTGCAAAATAAGAAGGGATTATTTTGTTACTCCTGCTTGGCAGCCCAGGAGTGGTGTTTCAGTGTGTGGAGGAGGTGTGCTCCCTGGAGTACTCACCTCACTGGGCAGCTCTCAGACCAGTTCATACTAACAGGGCTGGGGTTAGTGGGCTGAGATCCCCCCATTGCCTGGTGCTTCCTTGCATGGAGCTCAGCCAGTTGCCAGCTAAGAACATGCCAGGGGAATCGGCAGCAGAAGAGCACAGATGGGTGATGCTGCACGTGTGGCTCCAGGATCCTGCTCCACAGCTGCCCATGGTTTGCAGCCTGTCCTCCAGGCCCCCTGATACACCAGGAGCATTCCTCCACCCCAGCTCCAGCTGTGGCCAGAGGGGCTGGAGGCTCTGGGTTTTGGAATTGAGCACAGAGTTTGTGTCCTTTTAATTGTCTGTGTTCATGGCCAGAACTTGCCAGCATGTGGGGGGTTCAGCCAGCCCAGCAGTTCTTCCCCTTTGGATCCAAGTTCCCTGCCCTGTCTAGAAGCTGGGCCTTTGGCCATGGCTCAAGGGATCCCTGGGTATGGAGAGCAGGTTTGTCTCTCAGCTCCAGCTGGGCAGTGACTCGAGCTGGGCAGCTTCCCAGGTAGGAAGGGAGGTTTTGGTGGGAGGATCCTTTTTTTGGCCATGGTTGGCAGGGTCAGTGCTGAGCTGACCGGCTGCTCAGCCAGGCTGGTTGGTTTGTGTGGAAGTTAGAGTTTCTTTTTTAGTCTTCAAAAGGGCACTGGCCTCTTTGCTCCTGTTTTCAGATGGGGATGGCCTTGCAGGAGCTGAGGTGGCCCACAGAGAGGACAGCAGTTTTGGGATAGCTGGCACCTTCCTG